ATCCCATCGCGACGGAAAATACTCAACAGCAACGAGAGGAGGACAGAGACACGCGATCGTGGTCGTCGGCGAATCGTCGTTGAACGAAGTATTTCGTTAATTGTACGAGCCGGAGGTCGAATCGCGACCTGGATATACCCCGATTCTCCGCGAACGCTGTTTGGGAACGTCCTGCACTGCCTGGGGTAGGTATGGAATATGGAGCTCGCTATTATACCGTTTGAAACAACAATCGGGAGACCAAACTGGACCGTGTTCAACATTCAAACGGACAATTTCCATATATTCGTTTAATGGTGAAAGATGGTGTTGAATATCGAGATTGAACATTCTATTTTTTCTTCCTTTTTTTTCTTTGAAGTCTTATTATTTTTATCTATTAGACTGATCGATGTACTGATAGTGGTTATCGCGTCTCTTCAAATGATTGCTAATCATGTTTTTTAAAAAATTTGTTCCTTTTGCGATTAAATAAACATCGACGAAAACCAAGATACGAACTCACTGATCAGATTCGAAAGCTCAAAAGTTGTCAGTATCGTAAAGACGTCAATGAAATAGATGTCAATGAGATTGTAATAATTAGAAAACACGCAGATAATCTTAATGTGAAATCTGCTGACAACGCGTTGAATTTAAGAATCACTCTTTTATGAAAGATAAGAAGTCTGACTTATATTTTTTACCTGTAAGCGAGTCAACGTTCTTATGTTTCTTACCAGTGCGCTATCTTAAATGCCAATGCTTCCTAGCGAAGAACAGCAGTTAGTGGCTAGAATTCCAATATTCTGATCTAGACGAAGGTCCGAAGTTGGAAACGGTGGGTGGAAAAAAATTCGTTCCTTCGATTAGTGTTTCGTGGAATTGGGAAGGTTTATGGAGGTAAACGTGGGAAGAGGAATACATTAAGAGCGAACTTTAAACTAGATTTCTCTTTTAGGGTCTTCAGAAGTTTTAGGATAGGAAACGCCCCCTGTCAAATCTTGCAGGTTCCGTCTACCTGCAGCTAGCTAATATACAAATGGTCAGACTTGCGTGGTCACGCACCAAGGAAACAGCACGTAAAGTTTGGTCGCGTTCGAACCAGTGTTTGCACCCCAGGGGACGTCGCCGAGGGTTTTGAACAGTCTGACAGGTTCAGCGATTATTAAATTGTGGAACAGTGTTCGGAATATTCCGTTAATAGTATGCTATTATTCGTCGGACAAATTTAAATGTATCTTGATAAGTTTGTATAAAAGTGAATCGAATATTAAAATTCATCGTTTGCGCAATGGAGACCATTTCTGTAGCGATACATTTTTTGGTTTATCAATACATAGATCGGCCAATATCGACATACTTAAGTTTTCAATATCGACTGAATCATTTCTATAGTATCAATCTACACAAGTACATTATGCTATATCTTACGAGTTTCTTACCTCGCCAATTGTGATGCAATACGGAAATCTGATTAATTTGTATAGCAATTGATATAAAATAGCTTCTAAGAGTTTATTGTCTTATATCTTCTTACAAATTACAAAACACTTTCTATATTCCATTATCATTAACCTCGTATTTTTACATAGATTTGCATCTTGCCTTTCCAATGAAACTAGTAATCTAAGTCGTTTCTCGAGTCACGGCATGCTACAAATTTTCTTACATGATATTGAAAGATGGCGTATGCGACTATCTGTGTATGTGTAATGTATAAAAATCGAAGGATTAAAACAAATTTAGGAGAATAATATTCTACAAGAATGTATTTACCTCTGTATTCGTCCTTCTCCTCCTATATATTCTCTTCTATTTTTTTTTTCACTCAGAGAAGTCTCCTCCTACCTCGCTCGAACGATTCAGAATCTCGCGATTCCCGTGAAATTCGAAAGGGACTCAGGGCAATCTCCAGCCTGCTCCTTGCAATGATATCTCGTAAAACGGAACAGAGAGGAAAGGTGGAGGCATCGAGCGGCCGGCGAGTCTCTTCAAAGAACAAGCGAAAATCAAGCACGCGTGTATCAATCTCGAGTGCCAATCTCGACGAGGAGCCTCTCTTATCTTCCTACCTTTGATATCAGAGGTCCGCCGTATGGTAGCGATGCTTTCTCATCTTTGGACTTTCGTCTGAAGCTGACTAGGGGTCCCGTATGTAGCGAACCCTCTCTTCATCTTTCTCGCTTTCTCCCCCTACGAGTTTAATATCCGAGCTTGCAGATCAAATTTCTTGCGTGTTTCCGTGTTGTCGAGGATTTCTTCGCCCGGCAATTTTACCCGCCAGTTTCTACGCGATTTTTTCACCTTTCTCTCCTTCCCCCTTTTTTTAAGGAGGGGAGGACTAGGGGGTACTTTGTCACTTTTGGATAACGTGACACGCGAGTATTACGTCGGCTGAAAAATTTGAGGGTTCAAAGTACCTACGTATCACGTTTTATATAAAATCGTTGTTAAAGGTTGTCGTAAGTTGTTTGGAAGAATTTAGGAGTTGCAGTGATATTATATATAGCGCGGAGGTGAAGATTTTTATATAAAATATTGTCGGATTGTTTAATTTCACAGTTTCTGGTATTTCCACCTGTTTAAGTCAGACTAGAAGTTAGAACTTGGGATTACGAAATAAAGACTGGGATATAGCTAATTATTTATACAAAATAATCCTCAGATATATCTCGCAGATACGAGGTATCTGTATCTTATGAACTCTTTTTATCTGGTCGATGGAATCGATGGAACGTAAATCCAGAAGTAGCAGGTACTTGCGCACTCTCAGGGCAATATCTGATAAGGCAATGGAAACGTAATCGGTAAACTTTCTAACTGATCTCCATGTGACGAGGCTTTCGAGCTGAATTGGAAATTTCCTTGTGCTGGAAACTTTGCTCGTCGAAACGTCCACAACTGACCGCGAATTCATTCGTTCCGAATCAGAACACGCACGCTTCGCAACAACAGTCGTAACGTTTTCGATCAACCGGCGAATCCACTGCGACAGCTAATAATTCCAAGTTTAATCGCTCTGAGAGTGAAAATTCTTCAAAGTTCCGAACTATCAGAGATCTATTATTCCCTCATTATTTAGTCTAGGTTAAAACGCTGTGAGCGGTCTAGGATGGGTGACCGCCCCGTGAGGCGTTGACGAAGTCGAGACGCGCTGAAGCTATTTTTTCGCCCTGGAGTTGGGCCACTCTGGGGCGCTGGATGGTCGAAGCACACAAGGCAAGCCTCCCTTGAATATCAATAAGGAGAGACAGCGCTAAGGGCAATGGCCCCCTAACGCCAATTCAATAGTCAGGAAGTATTAGGACTGGCTAGAACATGAGAACGCGAGAAGGGGTGCAACAGAAAGTTAATTCATAAGAGGTTCCTGGAGCACCCCTGTCATACGCGTAGGATAGTCATCGTGGAGTTTTAGTCGGTAGCAGTCCAACACTACTCTGCTGTTACGCAACTATTGCGGAGTGTCTATGAGGATTTCTCCACGTACAAAAAAAAAAAAAGAAAAAAAGAAAAGGTTAAAACGCTCTATGTACCATTCTAAAACCGAAGCAAACTAAAACTTTATCATTTCCTTTGGCGTGGTCTCTCTCTTTCTTCGTTAAAAGAAATATCTTTAGTCGTTGATTCAACATAACTTTGCCTTAGCTCATCCTATAGCATACCGAATATATTTAATTATCTCGATCACGTCCCCACAAAAAAAGTCCAAACGTTCGACAAAACAAATGCAACGTAGAGAAGAACAAAGGGTCGTAAAAGATTAAAATTCTTCGACGAAGACAGTTCACAAGGCCACGAAGTTCGCGAAACCTTCGTGTCCAAGTGCAAAGCCTCCGGTCGAACCGGAAACGAGCAATTGTCGCGAGGCGTTCACGCGGTTCTTTCCGCCCTTCCTCCGCCTAAAGTGGAAGAAGGAAAGGGTCGAGGTCGAGTCGTGGCTGCATGAAAATTCAAGCGTCCATCGACGCAACTCCGTTCATTAAGTCTCGAACCCGCGTTGCTGCGTTACGAGGTCCGTTATCAGTACGATCCATAGCCCGTGAAATTACGATGAAACAGGGGACAGCGCCTTGTAATTTTACGACTCGCGGCCTACTTAACACCAGGACACAGGCAACGTGCGTTTCTCATAATCGTTCGTGATCTATTCGCGCTATTGCGGAAGGGCTAAACGATTACCACCGGTCGACGGGGACAAAGTCGTGCAGGAGAATACAATGCTCGTCCGTTGCACGATCTGATACACGACCGGCGACAAAATGACGGGTCTGTTTCGTGACCGGCCGACAAATGTTCTGAAAAACGGACAGGATCGTTCTGCGCGATGAACGACCGGCTGGGAACGTTTTTGCCACACCGACCACGGTGCGGTGTCCGTGTGTTTTGTCCGCGTGAAAAAGTAGATGTAACGTGGCTAGGAAGATGGCTGTTTCCGGAAAAAGTGGATCATTATAAGGTCTGCGAACAGGGATAGATCTGTTCTTAATTTGGAAATGATTAATTGTTCTCTTCCTTTCTTTTTTCTTTTTTTCTCTCTGGTTAAGCGTTTGGGATTTTTCTTTATTGATATCGCACTTCGACTATGGGCGTACAATATACGAGATAATCGAAGTAAAGTGCTCATTATAATATCGGAGAGGTGAAATTAATTTTCATAGCTGCAAAATTTGTTTTGTTTCCTATAGATGTGTTTACCGCTCTGTTTTATTAGTAGCTCTAATAAACTTGTATATAGTATATGAGAGTGCATATAATTTTTAGTATGCTTGTTCACAATTAAATATTCTATTTATTAGCTGCTATTTGTTTCACCAACTATTTAGTCGCATTACGTTTCATTGTGACAAATATTTCTTTCATTTGAAACGTTAAACGTATTCGTTAGTTTCTAATTTATCTTCACTTGAATAATTCATTTCTTAATTCTGTCCCCGCGATTAGACGTTCAACTGCATTCTCTTTCGCTATAATATACTGATTGGTTCGAAAATCTATTTTACACGTTTATTGTGTTACAGATTCCGGTAGATGTATTCGGTCCAGATCCGGTAGATGATATGAAAACTCACGATTTACATCGCCAACACAACTCGCACTTAACCACCGTTTCGAAAACGATGTCACAATGTCGATCGCATTTTTCTCCGCAACGGCGAAACGCGGTGAGTTAAGAGTGAATTATAACGGAGTGGAAAAACAAAGGGCAGGCCGACGATAGGGTCGAGGGAGGGAGGGCGTCGAGGCGTGTACAGAGTAAAGATCCCTCGCGAACCTTTGTTTCTAGCTGGCTTGTCGCCTGTTTGCTTCCGCGACAGGAAATTAACAGCTCGGTTCCGCTCTCTACGCATCCCGTACCGTATTGTTCGCCGTGAAAGTAATCTGGGATTTGTCACGCTCGTGTGTGCCCCGATATTAGACAATCGTGCGACGACTCGACGATTCGACGATCGCTTCGCAACGGAAATTCACCGATTCCTTTGCAAGTTAGCGTGTTCCGTAGCCGCAATAATTCTCGCGAGTAAGTAGCAATTAAGTTCCGACAAGAACTTCCTTGTAATTGGCGTTCGGAAATTTCGCTACTTCGTCGCTTAGTAGTTCATTGGAAACCAGATAAAGGGATGATAAACAGAGTTTGCCTTGTTTTACAAGATCCAAGATTAAAACGGAGCTGCGTGAAATGGAATAAATTCCGAAGTGAGAACGTCGTCGGTTAGGAAAATTGAATTTCAACCATTGATCGAATTATAAAAAGATTGACATTTTTACGTACGTTCCGTTAGAAATAAATTTTGGGTAGTTAACACTAGAACTACCACACCAGTCAAATTCATCGGTTTTACAATTCTATTTTAAAATTCCCACTTCATGTTATATTTTCTTTGCTCAATAATGTAATGACTTTCGCAACGATAACTAAAAGAATAATAGAATGAATTTTATTTTGTTTTTTATGTATTCGAACACTTATACCAATACCAGTCAAAATTACTGCTACTTGTCAAAATGTAAAAGGATCCTGCAATCTGTTTATCGAAGCCCAATTAACTAGTTTCCTCGTTTTACGCAACTTTCCACACGTTTTTTTAATTTTTACCGCGTATCATTCAATATGATGATATCAGTTATCAGGAAAATTCCGGATCGATCGCCAGATGCCAACGCTAGAAATACCACAGCAGTCAAAATGACTGGTTCTACAATTTTATAACTGTGTCAACCTTCGTTTAGGGATCATGGTCCCAGGTGGATTAATAATACCAAAAATCTATTACGTAACATGAAATTCCTTTTGTAAGAAGGTAATAAATCAATAAGTATAAAAATATTCTATTATTACGTATTTTTTAAATACCAATCATCTCGACTGGTTTTGGTAAAAATAGCTTCGTGTTAACTGACGGTAGTTCTAGCGTTGATTAATTTTCTTTTAAATTAGACGTAGTTTATATATTTAACGTTTTCTTTTTAAATAAGACGATAGGTAAGATTCTCGATAACGCAAGATCTTTGAAACACAATGTTAGTTCTTCGATCTAAGGTACTTTCACGCCAATTAACGATTCAAAGACTCTTACACCATGTATCGATTATCTTGCGACCAAACACTCTTCGGATCAGCAACTATTAATAACGCCATAATCTACGCACAGACTTGTGTTTCAAGCCAATAGACCGTAATAACGCGCACAATAACAACGATGAAAAATAACCGTAGCTCAAAATCTAGACGTTTCGTTTGTAGGAACAGAAATAATTCGAATCAAATTTATCGTACGACGTAAAGTGTAATCGTTAGATTATCTAGATTATCGCAACGTAGTTTCTATCGATCCAAAGCGAGGCAGAGTCTCTTAAATTCTCTCCCTCAGATTCGTAAAACAAATTTCACGCTACAAGAAAGCCAAAAAGCGCGTGTTACATTGGGAAAATATGCCGGCTGCTGGCCAAAATGACTGCGACGCGTTGGTTCCAATCAGATAATGGCCAACCGGCCGTAGAAAAATCGTGCTGGAAAATTAATCGTCGCGTTTATATCCCGTTTAACGTCTTCCTGGACGAACGAACCCGCGTTTGGCACCGTGTCAGCCTATCTTGCCCCCGCGTATTTTCATTTCAGATGCGTATTCCACGAACAGTCTCGATTCGTGGCTACCTTCCACAAAAGTATTTTGAAACACGGTTTTTAGATTAGGGTAAGTTTACAAGAAAAACAGAACAAATGCGTTTTACGTCAGACACGACGGAGTACTTCCGGTTAGGGAATCGCACGTTGCTGGTAGAATTTTGGGAAATGTTGACATGAAATTTATATTTCCTTTCATTCACGCTCTTATTGTGTTAGACGATTTGTCTCGTCACTTGGATTCTTAATCTTTTAATTGTAATAATTCCTTAATTTATGGGCTCGTATGATTTTAATGTCATGATTTCTGTCATGATGATTGTCTTTATGATTGGACATTCAGTCGAAAATTATAGAAACTTCTAGTTGGGGTGGTTAGAGGCGAAAGGTTAAGCTCTTTTCCTTCTAAGAGATGCCGCGAAATTTGACGATACTGTAAAGAAGATTTGTGGTCTGTGAGATCTTCTAGATCTTCGCAAGTAGAAGCAAGAGTGTTAAGGGAAAAACTTGTTGCACAATAGGCAGCTTTGCTCTCATGAATCCATCACGAGGCGCCATGCTGACAGTTAATGTTTTTAAATCGCAATATTATCCTTTCCTTTGCACGCGATATCATGCGAGTACAATGATTTTGAAATATACTTTCTGATCAGCCATTCATGAGACGCGGCAACTTACACCTCACAGAATATAAATATAAGAAAATATTTTCCATAATTCTTTCCTTCTTTTTCCATAATTTGGGAAACTGAATTCCATAAAGCTTGCTCCATAAAGTCGCGCCTTATCAACGCCGCAAAGTAGTAACTAACATTATTAACTTTCGCGTTTTTCACGTTAGTACAAAAATATCGTGACACAAGTTGCTTAATCTCCGATCGAAAGACAATTTTTATGAAAAAACTAAGCTCGTAGCGAAGATAATTGATATTTCCACGTCATATTTCCACGAATCGGAGAACTGAAGATTGTTTTAGGTGTTGTTCACGATCTACTTTTTGTTTACTACAAAGAAACGTATTTGCTCGTAACGCTTAATTGTTTTTGAAAATGTGCTCCGAAATGAGAATTGATCAAGACGTTCGTTGTAGTAAGATGCAACTTAATGTAGTCGAACTATAGGACAGATACGGAATTTTAATCCCGCAAAGTAGGTCGATACCGGGTGAGCAAGTTTTAGAGTTATGTATTCAAAGTGAGCAGTTTGGTGTCGGGACCTTTTAGACTTGGTTCGCGAAACGGACTGAGAATTTATTGTCGGCGAACAATAAGAGAACAAAGTTCCGTTGTTAATTTGTGAAAACATTTTGATTACTCATTACTTTACCAGATTTGTACACGGAATATTAAACACTGGCATAATAAATATGCACGACGAAAGTATAATCGAATCCAACCGAAGAAATAACAATTAAACAAGAAATTAATTAAAGAACAAAATGAAGTAAGAAATAAAGAAACACGTATCCTTTGATATTCAATTTAAGGTTCAGCTTAGGGGAATCAAGGATTATGACTGGAAAAAATAATAGAAAATTAATTAATTAATTGATACATTCGGTGCATCAAACATAGAATGATTCGCGAAAGTATTTCAATACTCATAGAATACTTTATGAAAATACGAGATTGTGTAAATTTTAAGCGAATCTGAAATATGTATAGAAATTGCGAGATATTTATTGCAAAAATTCACTTTGCAGAGATGACCGATTCAACAGTAAATTATTTGCTATATTAACCTGTTTCTAGCAAGAATCTATTTCTAGACGCAGACCATTAAAAACTGAACTGATAGCAGATTTTAACGAGTTATAGTAAGCTCACTTAATATCCTACTGTTTCAAATAATCTTACTCAATTTCTCTCGCAATAAATTCGTTACATTTACAATCTCCATTAAATTTTACTCAAAGTCAACCGTACGACCACCAAACAAATTATCAAATCTTCCGCTACGCGAATCTTAGTTGATTTACTATGGCCACGAATTGCCAAACAGAGAAGAGTCACTCTCGCAAACAGTCGGGATTATCAGTAGCAACGTTTGCCAACGTTGGAACACCCAGTAAAGAAGAGATCAGTCTCGTTCCGCGAGTCTCGTATACACGTACTCGTTCCCTTTGCAGCCGGTGGCGCGGTTTCAGCAAGCTAATTAACGTAAACACGGGGCCTTGGAGTCCCAAGAGGAAAGTTGGAGAAAGAGAGGAAGCCGGATGTTGGTCGCTTTGAAACGCTCACCAGCTACTTGATCACTTTTCGTCGAGAATGGACATCAGAGACGAGGTGGTTTCTCCTCGTGAAATTTTTTCCTCGGATATCTTCCGAGAACCAGCCTCTTGATTGTCACTTCCGGGGAACGTTTCACATCGTAGAACACGTTCCGGAAGGATGCAAGAAATTTGGACCAGATTCTCAGCTCAATGTAGGTACTCGACGGTTTGGTTAAGGCTTTTCTTTGTTTATTAGAGGATTTCCAAGAGACAGAAGAGCCGCCCTGGCTTTTGATCTTCCTTCTTTGCTATCCTCTGTTCTGTTTATGTGCCACGATTCAGGGGAACATACTCGGTAAACTGCAGTTGCACGATGAATGCCTCGTGTAAGAGAAGAAGATACATAAGTGTGGTAGCAGTGTTGGCTTTTAGTGAACAGCTTTTTTCATGAATGAAGTGGTTTTTTGAGGAATAGGGCCATTTACGTTTCTAGAAGAGTGAAAAAGAAAAGAAAGATGAAAACCTTTGTGGGGTGTATGATGGTGTAAATATTCAAACCCTCTGTTCTCTATAGATCAATTTTCCTTACACTTTTTTAGTAGCATTTAAAAATATTTTTGGAATTGTTACTAGTTTTACTACAATTATTATATCTATTATGAAGATATTCATATCATCGCTGGATAGAGTAATTTCTCATACAAGTGCTTAAGAAAAACCACGTTTACGACAACACTTCAATCATGAAAGGAATATTTAAAACAATGTAATCAACATACACTGCTATGATTTATAATCCGCAATTAATATCCGCACGTCCTTCCAA